ATCTCAAAGGGTCAAAGAAATGTCATTGTTGGCAGCCATGACTACCCCAAGTGTTCAGTCATGGAAAGGGCTGGGGAGTGGGACAACTAGATCCCAGTTACGACTCTGCTACGTATTAATCATGGGACAGGGAATCTGAATCTGGCTCCTTTCTTCCAAATGGGGGCAATAAAAACAACTGGTTTTACAGTTTTCTTTCAAAGATTAAATGAGATTACAAATCAAGCGCCCTGCCCATGGTAGGCATTCAATAACTTATAGATATCATTATGTGACATATTGCCATTTCTCTAGGAGCTACAGAATACACTCCTCTCTTAGAAATGATGAAGAGGGGGTGGGAGTAGGTGGTCCCTCCATGCTAGCTGCTGGAAAGGGTGAACTTGATTGAACTTGTTTTATTCACAACTGTAACAAGACATACACAGTACTTTTTTCCGTAAAAATTTATATAAAATTTTTACAGAAAAACCATTTGAGTTGGAGGGATCTTAAAAATCTATTCCAAACACTTCATGTTATAGATAAAAGAATTGTGAGGCCGAGAGTGGTTAAATGACTTGGTCAAGGTCAGTTCACTTGTTAGTATATACTTAAGTGACCCAAATTCTCTAAGATCACATATTTCTTCCCTTCTAAAATCCTTCTTGCTCTCATATTCAACTGTAAATGTAAAACAGAGACAATTCTCAAGAGACAATTATTAATGTTTTATTGTTACTGGCTCATTCTAAAACCCATAGATCTATTTTTAAATATTTTATTTTAATTTCTAGCCACACAAATTATGGACTTCCTGCCAACTAAGACTGAAATAGCTACTTACCATTCCTTTCCCATTCCAAGGATGTGTCCTGTAGCTTTTCTTTCTTCTGTTATTAAGAAATATTCTGCCTTATCCTCTCACGCATAAGATAGAAAGGAGGTCAAGTAAACCGACAGAAAGCAGCTTTGTTCAAATTCGCCAAGTGAAAGGGGCCCAGGGGACCTCTGTTGTGCGGGGCACTGGATGAACAGGTGGCCACGTACATCCCTGGCACTCTCCTCTGTGGGTGGGGACACATCACCAGCATCACTGCCACCCTCATAGTTTCCACCAAAGGCAGCATCTTGAGGATCATTTTTTTGGAGGGCCCCTATGTTCAGCACATCTTTTAGCAGCGTGTATTCTACTAAAGGACAAACCAGCCCAAACCCCATATGGACCACATAACTTGGAAGAGCTTCATGATCACAGAGCATCTCATAAAAGCCTTATGGAACAGCCGTTCCCTGGATCTGCCCCGGGTGCCTCCTTCTGAGAAAGGGATTTTCAGCCTAGATGTCTCCTCTTCGAGAGAGCATCCCTCACCACCCGGGCTCCCTGGGCCTCTACCACAACATGTTGTTGTATTTGCTCACTATAGGAAATGTGTGCCGTTTGTGCCCCACAAGAATGCCAGTTCTGTGAAGGCAGGGCCCTTGCTACTCACGGTGTGTCCAATTCTGGCTCAGAGTACTCACTCAATAAATAAGTGAGTGTGGGCACGTATCCTTCCAGTAGTACCGTCAGGCTGCGTCAGCCCCCAAGTTGGAATACTGGCTTCACTACTTACTAACTGGGTGACTTAAGCCAATGACTGGAATACAGTGAACTTCTCAGTGCTTAGCCTAAGATAAAAATGCGTGTCTCGCTAGGTTGTTGCTGTCATCAAATGAGATAGACGTGGGCGATGAGATTAGAACAGGGCCTGGCGCTAACCCTTCATACGCAGTGGTTGTTACTATTCCCACAATTAAAGTACAGCATATTATTGTAAAGGAGTCATGGGGAGGTTATATAAATATTCAAGTTGAAATCAGGGGGTCTTAATTCAATCACATGAACTCCAATTTTTAATTAATTGAAACCAGATCCTTCTTGTTGGCTGGACAAAGTTATTCGTTTTTATAAAGGGTCCCTAACTCAACCTTTGTGGTAACCCCCTGTTATAATAAACTATCATTTGAGACCCTCTCCTTCACCCAACCCCTTGGTATCCACTTGGAAAATGGCATCTTTTCGTGAACACATGTGGTAAGATTTTTAAAGTAGAATTTTAAACACTTCTTACCAATGTGTATTGGCAAAGATTTTCCAACGGTGTTGTCAGCAAGGTGCTACTTTCTGTTTTTTGTACTGCTGAATGGCTTTCACCAAAGGCATCCCAAGGCTTTTAGGAAAATCACTGCTCTTGGAGCACCAAGATCGGGAGGAGAGAAAGTTCCTTCTTTCCTTTTATTACACCTTGATGCTCCCCTAGTGAATGAATGCTTTCATACAAAACCCACATTCCCCCACATGCTAGCTAATCAAAGGTGCAATGAGCGAGTAGCGCCTGGCTCTGTGCCACTGGCCGGGAAGGAGGCCGTGGAAGGAAGACCCGCCCGTCTACCCGAGAGGCAGCCCAGCTCTCTCTCCTTCTGGTCCCCGAGGTCTTTTCCTTCCTTACCATGTCCGGTCCAGACGCACCCTTGTCTGCAAAGAATTTCAGCAACTACCCGTGAGCCGGGTCAGCCAGCATCTGTGCGTTGGACAGTGAATTAAAAGCTGTGGCTTAAGGCATCCGTGAGTAAAGGAGCACCCAGGCTTCTAGTTGAAAGTTCCAAGGTAACTGACAGTAGAGAAAGATCTTAAAATAAGGTGTGAGAGTTTTATCACCTTTCCAGCCCTTTGATCCTAAAGTCTGAGAACAGAAAGAAAAGTATATCTGCAGAGAAACTCCACTTTTCGTCACTCTGCCATTCACTTTATGCTTTCTCTTAAAAGCTTTTCTAGCTTTGTCTCACTGACAAGACAATTAGCCAGAACATATACATAGATTCTAGAGACCAAAAAAAAATTTTTTGCCACTGATAGTATTTTCTTCCTCAGATTTGAGAATAAAAATACTGCAGGAACAGGACGCAGGGAAAGGGAAATTAGGCAAATAAATACTGACCCTGCCAATGGTTTGGAAGAAGATACTGTCATTTTTTTTTTCTTTACAAATTTAAATGTCTCTTCATTGGTACCTGTACCAATCCACGCAAGTAACTTTTGCTTCCTCCTAGTCTCCTGTGCCTTCCCCGAAGGCTGAGGGTCAAGGATGGGAGGCCCTCTGGGGCGGGTACTGCAATCCACATCAGCACTTGACTGCAGGGAATTTTTCTTAAGGTGAAAATTCCTGGGCACTTCTGAGATGTATCCCATCCCATATTAAAATAAATATCCCCAGAAGATTCTGATATGTAGCCCATCTGAGAATCCCCCCTTTAGGGTGACAGTATATTGTAAGTGCCATTAGGCCAAGTACGAGGCTCTTTGCTCATAGTTGTATGCCCCGCCTCTTCCTGGCACACACGGGGCACTCAATCCATGTTTGTTTATAAACTTCCCGATAGGAACACGCTTGGTAATTTGCCCTCATCTAAATTCCATCCTCTAGTACCTTGCAAATCACTTAGCGAGTGGTTCTTAATCAGGAGGTGGTGGGGGCGTGGACAAGGGAGCCGAGGTAGCTTCGGGAAATCAATAAATGCTAATGAAAGCTCAAACACACAAAATTTGGCGCAAAGTTTCGGGGAATTCGCAAACTTCCCTGAAACTCGTTCATGATTTCTGTTTATTCATTTACTCATCATTCATTTCGTAATGCCCTAGTAGGCACTGACGGGGGCTCAGAGATTTAAGGGACCAGATTACGCATGAGGTTAGGCAAGATTTCGGCTAGGAGAGGGCTCACAGTTTCCTTGTCCTGTTCTCAGATATATATAGAGAAGACCTCCAAAATTTGGCCCACAGGGGAAGAAAAGGAATTTCAGTGAGATCTGGAGCGCCGACCACTTTCTGGCTTTGTAAAAGAAGTGTAATTGTATGTTTCATCACTCTAACTAGACATTTGGCTCCTTTAAGGCAGGGCCTACATCCCGTGTGTATGTGGAACGAGGCGGTTCAGATGTGTGCACGATACAATAATGGACGTGTGCATTCGTGCCGAGTGGGAAGAGGCAGTCCATATTCAGGGAAGGGAGCTAAAGGTCGCCTGAAGTGGCTGTTCAGAATAAGGAAATGTGTGGCGGCTGGTTTTGCTGACGAATTCAGGAGCCCCGATTCCTAGTGTGCAATCCAGCCTTCCTCGGATACACACGACTCACAGGTGACACCGTAGGCAGGTTTGATTTGTTTATTTTTTACCTGTAAAACCAGAAATGAAAATCTAGGCCTCCAGGACCAATTCCTAGCAGTGCTATTTCGAACCAGCCCCTTGACCTTGACAGAGGGTGGGGGTGCAGGAAAGTGCGAGGTATGTTCTTAGGTCCTGTTGGGACCCCTGTTACTTTACTAAATGAAAGGCAAGCATCCCAAGGCCAGCGTTGTGGTTCCCAGACTCACACTCGTTAGCTTCCCTTGTAGTATCACATTGGGGCAGGTTTACGGATGTGACGGTGACGCATGGTCACAGTTATTATTATTTTGGTCTAATGTTTAATGTCTATTGCTGTGTTTCAAGTGCGAGAGAGTTCACTCTAGGCGATCTACTAGCACGTTTCTGTAATCATTTCTCACCCTCCACCACCTCCTCTTCTACCGACGGGTCCAGTTCCTAACCATCAACAGCAGAACCTTGGGCGAAGCAAAGGGTCTTTGAGAGTCTGAAGCTTTGCAAGCCTGAGGGCTGAGCTTAGAGACGGGATGTTCTTCACCGTGTTCTAAGGCCTTTGTCTGCGACTGTTGCTGTGTGTCGTGCTCCCTGTTTTGTATTAACTATACCACCTTCTCTACCCCATTATTTACAATAATTTAGGGGTCGCTTCTTTAATAATTGTATTTCTTGCCTCTGGGATACACAGTATACATTTCTATCTATGCCTCATTTTCCCTTTAAGGGCCTAGCTAAGAATGAAACCTGAGGGGAACTACACAATATTGTATAATATATAGTCTACATTAATAAAAATTCATTCCCCTTAATTATGCTGCCATTTCCCTTTTATACCAGGTATCACTAAAACATCCCAAGAGCATCCAGTCGAGTTCCACAGGGATTGGTGATCAACCAGAAGGCGTGGACGCGGATATCTGATTGCTTGCCTGTAAGTACAGTTTATGGGACTTGGGGGCAGGGAGCTCTTCTCTTAGCAATTCTATAGCCGCTTGGCCCGATTTCCTAAATTCTTGCACCGAAAGATGAATTGTGAGAAGCCAAGTTTTCTGCGATGCCCCTCCCCATTCGCTTACCAGGCAATCTATCAAGCTCAGAAAGAATTGTTTTGTAATATGATCTTTTGCTTTATTCTTTACATTTTTCCTGCATATATAATACCTTAAGCAACTCGGTCCCTTTTCAATATAGAAGTCCTCCCTTCCCACAAAGAATGCCAGTGACGTGGGGGAACATGCAGAAGATGAGTCAGTGTTCCCGGGGGAACGAGCCCACTTGGCACAAGCCCTGGTGACGTCAGGAGCGTTAAGTGCGCTCACTTTCAACCCACTCTCCTCAGCTGGGGCAGAACGTCTACCAGCAGAAGGTCTTCCTGGGCAGCAGGAGGAGGGGATTTTAAAAGGTAGGGGATGGAGAAATTGAAAGGAAACTTCCCTTGTGCACAATTTTGCCAAAGTTGGCACCCGTAGGAAAAACAGTTTTTCAGGAATTTAGCGTGGTTCTCAGGCAATTATTGCTTCAGGATGCTCTCCGTTACACCCTCCATTCGTTTGCTTATGGCCACCACGGCAAAATACCACGGGCTGGGTGGCTGAAACAACAAAGATTTATTTTGTCAGAGTTCTGGCGGTTAAAAGTCTCAACCAAGATGTCAGCGGGTTTGTTTTCTTCACAGGGTTCTCTCCTTCACTTCCAGATGACACTCTTCCCCTGTGTCCTCACGCGTCCGTGCTACCGTGTGAGTCTGTCTGGCGCCTCTGTGTGTGTGTGTGTGTGTGTGTGTGTGTGTGTGTGTCCCAATTTCCTTTTCTAATGACCTCATTTTAATTTAATCGCTTCTTTGAAGACCCGATCTCCACGTTGGGAGGTGCTGGGGATTAGGACTTGCGCGTATGGATCTAGGGGAAGACAATTCAGCCCATAACACCCCATCATCACTTCTCCAACGTGCTGATGTTCAGCTTATTGCAGGTGGACTTCTAACCCTCCTCTCCTGAACGCCCTTAACCTCTACGACACGCTCAGAGCGTTTGTTCTGTGCTGCAGTTCGCTGGAGTTCTCTGTGTGTACAGCTCTCCTTTCCCTGTGGCGCTTCATAATTTTTGAAATTGAAAAATGTGCCTTTGACATCTCTCACAACCCTAAAGGAGGGTTGGGGCACAGTAGACATTTAATAATATCTATTGAACGACTGAATGAATAAGTAAATAAGTAAATGAAAAGATCAGATTTAACCTCTGAATGTACAATTTGTGTACTTTAACTATCTTTAAATGATGGTTGTCAGTGGTGCTTTCTCTTTATTTGCCACCCCTCTGTCCTCGACAACAGGTGGAAATAGGTCAAGGTCAAGGCTGGTGGGGGGGGGGCAGAAGGAAAAATGATTAACTGATGGCAGAGAGCTACCTCTCTCCTTAGAGAGGTAGGAAACAGACAGTAAACGGCATGCATTTGCCCCAGATAAGGTCGCTCTCCCTTGAGAACACTGTTTGGGAAACCCAGAGGGAGGGATCATGAGTTTTCATTGAGATGGACTTTGAGGGCCTGTGAGGCTTCCAAGGGCATAGGTCTAGAACGTAGGGGATATGCAATTCAAGCTCAGGTGAGACCTAGAAATGGAGATGTTCACGGTCTAACCTCTATGCAGGAATTAAAACCATGACAGTGGGTGACGCCACCTAGACAGATTAGGTGGAATGAGGGGAGCTGGGCTTTAAAAATGCCACCCAAACTTGTATGTAGCAAGTTTCCCTGTTAAAGAACAGGAGAGAGAGCCCCTTAAGAGAAAGAAATCTCCCTGTTACTTCTAATGAGGGTTTGTAAGAACGCGTGTATTAGCAAATGTGTATGTCTAGCTATTTCTCTCTCCTCTTATTTCTTTAGGTCTTTTTAAAAAAATTTCTCCCCAAGGACGTGCCCCTTAATTTTTAGTAAGGGAGGAAAGAAGGGAGCAAGAGAGAGAAAATTGATGTGAGAGAGAAACATTGATCACTTACCTCCCCGACTGGGGATCAAACCTACAACCTGGTTATGTGCCTTGACTAGGGATCGAACCCACGACCTTCATGGTGTATGGGACAACGCTCCAACCAACTGAGCTACTTGGCCAGGGCTTCTTTGGTCTTATTTTATTCCTTCTTCTTACTTCTCTTTTGTGGGATATGCCCCAAACCACTTTGGAGGGCTTGCTCCCCTCTAGCTAAGTCTACTCTTAAGTATGTGTTTAACGCCCCAGCTGTCTGTCCAGGGGTCCCGCACATCAACACCTTCCTTTGAAACCGTTTTCATCAGCCAATCAGAAATGATCAGACTGGATAGTGGGAGAGACCCAGGATTCCGTCCAAAAAGACAGAAGTCAGGTCCCTTTCAGGGTCAGGTGCCATGGAATATTGTCTTGTCTAGACAATAAAGGGACCAACTGGGGATAATGCACCTTTTGCTCCCTGAACTCGCTCCTTAGTCCATTGTTCCCTGCTAATCTCCCCACACCACCTGTACTTTAGTAGAAGCTTTGGAAAGAGTTTCCAGCTTCCCAGCAAGGCCAAAGTGGGGGCTGGTGGAGTGTCCGTGGGCCGTGAGTCATGTCACCGTAACAAGCTTCTCCTCATCAAACATCATATCTAACAGGGTCATGTTTACCCCGGAGCTGAATTTCCCTAATTTTTCCTGCTAACTGTGATGCAAGGAAAAGGGGGAAAGGTATTTGCTTCTTTTTTATCTTCCAACGTGTTATTTCTTTTCCTTTAAGTTCTCTGCTTGCTTATTTTTCTCTCTCCCTTAGTTCTCTTTGTTTAGCAGAAACCCTTGATCTTTCCTTGGATTGCCTGATTATTAGAAAAAGAGGCTGCCCGAGGTCTGGAAGCTTCTTCCTTCTTGTCTGCATACCCCCACCCACTCTTCAAAAAGGAACTTAGAGATACCAGCTTTCTTTAAATAACTTCTTGTATACTTTCCTCTTGGTGTTCTTCGAGTAGCCAGGAAAAAGATTCCACTTTTTTCATAGCAACCCCCAAAAATCTCAGTGACACTGGCATCAGTGATTTTTATGCACATTGCTGTTTACCTACAAGGAGAAAGGAGAAACTCTGAGGTCAAGAGGAAACAGTTCTGCCGTCTATGAATGGGCTGGGTGAGCTGTTCCAAATGAATGGTGGCCAGCTGCCAGCAGAGGTGCCTCCCGACTGTGTTTCATTAATTTCAGGCAGCTGAAGGACTTGGAGAGAAAGACAATTTTCCCATGAACATGTAAAAGAAGTGCTTTCAGTTGTGTGCAGGCTTTGCCCTCGTTTTAGAATAGCATAAATGGGAGACTTTACAACCACGGTGGGCCAATATTTTTGGAGTCACTTGAAGCTCCAGATGGAGTGGAAAGAGAAGGGTTTTTTTTTCTCCTTCCTTTTTCCTTGAGTTTTGTTGAACACACCTCCCTGGACACACTCGACAAAGTGTTGGGTCTCCCGTTTAATTCAAGTGTGTCCGGACTTGTTACAGCAAGATCTAAAGGGATCTCTCCCCCATTGAAGGTCTCTCACACAGACTTCTGGTTATGGATGTGGAACGAGGCTCATATGTGAGAAAGCCTTGAGACCACGCCCTCCCTATGAGTCTCACCCCAGGGAGACTGCTTTCGGGTCCCCCTCATGGGACGTAAGGAGGAAAACATACAGTGAGCTCAAGTTTGCTTAGGGACTGAGAGAATATGAGGGACACAGGTACCTGTGATCTCCCGACATGCTGGAGACCTTCATAATAAAGAAGGTAAGAGAACATTCCAGCATCACCATGTACAGATTTTTGGCTCAATGATGGCGTTTTCCAGGCCAGGGAATTATACCTGGCCCTCAGAAGCACCTCTATGAAAGCACAGCCCTGCCTAGCATGGTGATTGATGGAAATCTGTTGTGCCAGAGTGGACATGCTCTGGCGGAGGGTACAGACAACAAGGAGAAAACAGACAATGGTACCAGGAGTTCTTGTCTAGAACTTTCCAGCTGTTAGTTTCAATAAGCCTGGGTTCGTATGCAGTAAAGAGAAACAAAATGATTCTGTTATATAGCTTTCAACCCAAACACTCAAGTCTTGTTTTTATTGTTATTCTATTACAGTTGTCCTGGTGCTCCCTCTTTGCCCTTGTCCGCCCAGCCCACCTCCAGTCCATCCCCACACTGTTGTCCGTGTCCTCAAATTCTTACCTAGGTTCCGACTCTGACCAAATTTGTCCAGTTCAAGGACACGGACTCAACTGCTTCCCAACCCTGCTTTGGGATGTTCAGCAAAGCAGAGTTGTGAAAATCTTGCGCTATTCCGTGCAACAGACCTCCAGTGGAATCAAGTAGAACAAGCCTTCAACCCGCGGAGGCGAAAAATCTGAGACATTTTCCCTCCCACTGTTCTTTGTATCTCAGGTCCAACTTCGTGTCGAATTAAATCTAGATATTTTCGAATTGACTTTTACTAAAGGAGACGGCAGAACTGCATTCCCGGAAACAGATATTTTAGGCCAAACTTAATTCTTAGATTTTTTTTCCTCCTCCTCTTTTTTGCTTAATTCAAAACAAAACGTCTATCATTCACTCTAACACCCGCCTTTAAGAGCTGGAGACAAATGGAGTCTGAATATTCACGCCCATGTGGTACAAATGAGCTGTGATTTCAGGATGCTGGCTGTTGTTCTGACAGGGGAAAAGTGCGATGGACTCATTTAATATTTTTGGCTGAAAACACTTTGTTCAAGAGGGATGGAAAAGGCCAACATTAATATTGAGTCCTGTTATTTAATGACCAAAAATGATATACCGGGGAATGGAGCATCCTGGGTCTGGGAAAAATTGGATTGATCACATCCAGAGATGGAGGGGGGGGGTGAATGCAAACATATGGGGAGCCGGAAGGAAGGGGCGCTTCTAGAAAGCACTTTCTCCCGGTTCTTCA